TTCACTTTTTTTTTTTTTTTTTAATTTTTGGCTATTATTCGGCCGCTCCAAACTTAGGAACATCCCATAATAATAACCTCAGAGACCGATCCCGACTTCAGTCCAAGTCAGATCTCGCTAAAAGCTCTTTGATCGGCCCAGACGATGATAAGTCTGATACATTGTATCTTTTGTATCTCTTAAGTGAAATGTATCTAAACATCGAGCTCTCGAGCTGTCACAGCGAATAGCAGAGAGGGGAGTCACTCCGCTACCTCTCTGCTCTCTCAGCTGTCACATACCGGAGCGCTAATGGCGGTTCATGTAACGGCTTCATTCTCTCATTAATGACTGGTGACCGGTGAGAATCGGCTGTTACCGGCATTACAGAGCCTGATATAATTTGTCACGTACAGCGTACGTCTCCCGTCACCATGGGGTTAATGAGGGTCGTTGTGCCGTGTGTTGAGCTGGGTGCCGGATGGTGTGTTGTGCCGTGTGTTGAGCTGGGTGCCGGATGGTGTGTTGTGCCGCGTGGTGTGATGTGTGTTGAGCTGGGTGCCGGATTGTGTGTTGTGCCGCGTGGTGTGATGTGTGTTGTGCCGTGTGTTGAGCTGGGTGCCGGATGGTGTGTTGTGCCGCGTGGTGTGATGTGTGTTGTGCCGTGTGTTGAGCTGGGGGCCGGATGGTGTGATGTGCCGGGTGAATGTGCCGCATGGTGTGCATGTTACTCCTCTGACACTGGGGGACCTTCATCTGGTTTCTTGGCGCTCTCCAGAATCTGCCTCCTGGACCCCTCGGGATATTTCCCTCGCTGACCTCACACAAAGTTGTCTTGTTACCTCCACACGGAGTGTCTCTGGGCTTTATCCTGTATAGAGCCCATCTTTTTTTTCACCAGGATGGGGCCTCCATTCTTCCCTCGGTGGTTTCCTCTCTCCACATGACCCAGGAATTCCTCCGCTCCCCGTCTGTGGCGTGCGCTCCTCCGCTCCCCGTCTGTGGCGTGCGCTCCTCCGCTCCCCGTCTGTGGCGTGCGCTCCTCCGCTCCCCGTCTGCCACCCGGACCTCGGTTCCCATGTTTGTTTTACCAGGTCCCGTCTAGTGTAAGGTGCCTGAACCTGCCAGCTGAGCTCTTCCTGGCCGCCCTCTTGCGTGTCCTGGCCGCCCTCTTGCGTGTCCTGGCCGCCCTCTTGCGTGTTCTTTTGGTCATGTGACTGATTTTAGGTGGTATTTGAGCCTCGTCACTTTCGTTGCAGGAACGTTTCAGTTACGTGTGCCCGGATCTGGTGAAGGAGTTCAGCAAGTACGACACGGACGGCACCAAGTGGATCAAGCAGTACACGGGCGTCAATGCCATCTCCAAGAAGGAGTTCAACATCGATGTCGGATACGAAAGATTCCTCGGCCCCGAAATATTCTTTCATCCCGAGGTGAGTGGCGTACATCCTGCGCCGTGTGGTACAGGAGTACTCGGAGTACA